TGATTTATTTGAATTAGAAGTTATTTGATCATATTGGTTAGCAAGATTGGCCATGTCTTTACTATGGTAGTAAGTACAATTTGGATCCATTATATTAAGGATTGCCCAAGACAAGAAAGCAAAGGGAAATGATCAAAATCATTGGTTTGAAACACTTGAATAACATAGGGATGGAAATCATGGTTATCGGATCGTAAAAATATCTCGTATCGTTTTGCTCCACATCTCGTACCGTATCGTTATCGTATCGTATCGTAAGATATTTAACCAACTATTAAAATAGTAAAAAATACATATCTATATTATAAAAATATTATAAACATGTAAAATTTAATACAACTATTTATTTCGAAATAAATATAAACTCAAGTTTCAACATCATATTATAAAATATGACAAAAATCATAATTATTTTATCAAATAACATCATCTAAGAGGGTGTTTGGCTAGGCTTATAAGATGTTAACAATAACTTATAAGATGTTTAAGAGCTTATAAGCGATTCTAGTGTATTAGGTAATTTTTTTTAAAGATCTTAAAAATTCAAAATATTATAAGCTGCTGGAGGAGAGCAAATAATTTTTTTTAAAGTATATTTACCCCGCCTATTTATTTAAGATCTTATAATGAGTAAAAATAATTTGTAAGATCACTATCCAAACACTTGAAAAAAATATTTTTAAAAGTAAGATGTAGCAACTTATCAACTCTTAAAACATCTTATCAGTTATTCAAAAGAAGCTTAGCCAAATGGGCCCAAGTACAAATTCAAATAACTAATTTCTAAAATATTCGATATCTCATAATTTTGAAGATCAATGTCACTTAAGTCATCCTCATCTACCAATTTTAAACGATTCATCATCATCAATCGCAAAACTCAGTAAAAAGACCTTAAAAAGGTCTTTTCTATCCATATATATATTGAATTAGGGTTGCGATATTATGAAGATTGGTGAAGAAATTTGAAGAGAAAAGTGTGAAATAGGATTGGGATATTGAAAAAATTTATTCAAAACCGTTTTTCAGAACAGTTGATTGCATTTCTTCCGTTTTTTTTCTTTTTTTCTTTTTTTTTTAATTGTCGACTAATATCGTAAATATCGTATCGTATCGTGATACGGCGATACGGTACGATATCTCGCGATATTTGACGGTATTTATCAATAAGCGATACAGAACCCGAGTTGTATCGTTTTAATTGGAACCGTACCGTATCGCGATATATATCGCGGTATATCGCGAGATTACTACCATGATGGAAATGGAAATGTGTATCCTGAAAAAAAAAAAAAAAAAAGCATGCAAAGTGCAAGCAATGGGCATCGTCAGATCGAAAAAGTTTGATGGAGTGGAAAAATCTCGACTGAAGTAAGATTTGTTCCTGAATTGAAGAGAAATGGTGTTCTTGATCAACAAGGACACACTTTTCAAGGAGGGTATGGAATTCTTGAAGTATTTATAGGAATTTTAAAAACTACTAATATGAGTTCAAATGGAGAAAATAAGAGGAATTCGAAAAATATAAGTAAAATCCGAACCTGGTCTGGTCTTAATTGTGGCCAGCATCGACACCTTGCACGGAATTTGTCATAACGTCTTCCCGAAAACCATATAAGATTCATCCCCTAATTCCTTCGGATCGAGTCGGTATATAATTAAATATAAAGTTGACTGAGAATTAAAACTGATTCAACAAGCTCTTCATCTTCAGCATCTTCATTAATTATAAATTTAGAATCAATAAGAGATTTTTAATAAAATCAGTACTAAGGAATAACTCCTATGTGATAAATAATCATCACATCTTAATTTACAATTTTGTATTCAAACGACCACTCTGTCGAACAGTACTTTAGCTATGTGGAAGTTGATAGTTCCAGGATTACAATATGCAGTATAGTAATAACTTTTAGCAATCAGAAGAAAATTCTGCTTAAGCTGATATTCTAAATCTCCAGAAGATTTCGTAAGCACTAATTCCACAAGCTCTTGCATCTCCGACTCGATTTCTATACTTGTAACGCCTCCCATATCAGTCATACACCCTTTGTCATCCTCCACCTGGTCACATTATAATAAAATGTTCGTAAAAACAAATGACAAAAAATCGATGAAAATACTTTTTGAAAAGATTTTTTTTTTCTTTTTCTAACTAACCTTTCGGCTTTGAAATAGGCGAAGATGTTGACAAACGCTGCTAGTGATCTCTAAGAGCTGTTGGTATTTCGGATGAGAAAGTAATAATTCATCGAATTGTAATCCACTGCTGCTCAGATTCAATGTGGTGACGAGCAGCTCGGCTTGCCCAATATCAGCTCCTTCGTCTTGTTCCCATATCTTCAGCCACTTTAGCCACTGCACATTTAATATATAAATATTATTGTTTATGGAATATTTAGTACTGAAACTTCAAATAATTAATACATAATTATTTGGAGTAATTACCGCACAATACAATTGGTGATGGATGTCGATGCCATGCGCCAATAGTGTGTCCATCGAGATTTGACTCACAGTTCTGATCAGTGTCCCTATCAGGCTCTTTCTTGTTTTATACCTGCTGATATCCATTTTTAGTATATATAATATTTGTTTTCGATTCTATTTTCAGAATGAAATATTTTTCGACATAATATACCTTCCTCCATTTGCGAATTTGAGGATGCTCCCATGTTCGAATTCGTCAACAAACTCCCGTTTTTGTTCGGTGGAAAGTTGTTGTGATTTAATCGTCTCCAATAAAATGACGGTTTTAGCCCAAGCGATGCGTTGGTTTGATTTTTCCGGCTCGAAAACGCTTGCGGAGGCTATGAAGTAAGATAGAAGAAGGTTTCTCTCACTCAAACCAAACTCCCCAAGATTGCAATTTCTATACCATCTGCAATCCATATACGTGACGACACGCACAAAAAAAGAATATATCGAATTATGGTACATATTTAAATGTGAAAAATAATAGGTAAAAGAATTTAAATTTTTTTCGTGTGTAATTGATTACTTTTGAATGGTTTTCCACTCTTGCTGATGGAGAGCCTGGCAATTGTTGAAGTCAATTGTTGCTAACTCAAGGTATGTGTTGTTATTCACATATGGCATTCTGAATAAATTTGAATGCATAAACAATATTAGATTTTTCAAGAAATAGAAAAAACAATTAATTACGAGTACGTGTGTATATAAATAAGTATAAACCTATATAAGGTTTTGCCGATCCAGACGTCGTTTTCGCCTCCGTATTGTTCCAAGAAAAATCGGGCTTCGACTCGAGGTAGATTCGCATACCATGGAACATCTAGCGCATATCCCACCTGTTTTTTTTTATTTCTCGTTATCTTTCTATATATTTACATCAACTTAATACGTAATATTACGAATTATATATATTATGCGTACCTCTCCAGGAAGGTCTTTCGTAATAATCCATTTGTCTAGAAGCTCATTATTAGCTCTCTTTGCTTGTAAGAATTTTGCGGAAAATGTTTTGGCATTAGCAAGTACGTTTTCTGCCGGAAACATAATCTGAGAAGCCCGATAAAGGTTGTACATTCCGGTGACAGCCTGGTTCGACTGTCCCGCGAAGCAAAAGAATTCTCCGCCATTTTCAAACTGTTTGAACACATCTGTCGAGTCCCAATAAACATATGGTCACAATAACATTCGAATGTACGGTTGTTTTTATTATGAATTCTCTATTGTATACATAGCCACTAGCGGAGCCAGAATTTTAAATATGTGCGGGCTGAATGCGTTAAATGTTTTCTGAGGGAGGGCCAATAAAAAAAAATTATATACGAAATAATAAGAATTTGAGAAATGTTGGGGCCAGACCCCCGTACACTATGCTGGCTCCGCCACTGTAACATAGCGCTAATTTGATTATATATATGTACCTGCGGAAACGTGGTAACCATGCTGCCTCAAAAGCCGGAATCCCATTGCGGTGTCGTCGATGTCTTGAACCTCGGAATTTCTTGCCCAGCATATTCCTTTATTTGTCCAGTTTCTGAAATTAAAATTTTCACAAATTCTAATAACTAAAATTGCCTAATGTAAATATGGTATATAGAACAAAAAATCAATAAATCAATCCTAGTAAATAATAATGGCTTACTTACTTGTGAACATAATCAACACAATCGTCAATTTCGGATTGAAAATATCGCGAAATTCCTAGCCTTTGCAACCGGTCTACTGCCCATAGATGCTCGAACAAGTCCACCGGGTAAACATTCGGAACTATATCATAACGAGGATATGAATCAAGATGAGAATTAATTATGAGAGTTCAAATGAAATCCTAGTTAACTATAAACATGGAAAAATACACTTCTAGTACGTTCAGTTTACATAGATTTCACATATGGTCCTCCTTGTTCAAAAAAAAAAAACAAATTTAGTCCCTCATGTTTCAAAAGATTAACATTTTTGGTCATCTCCGTCAGTTTTCAATTAAAACTAACGGAATCAATTATGTGCACATCACTTTCTTAACTAACGGACTAGTGGTAAATTGACGGAAATGACCGAAAGTGTTAAATTGTTGAATCTTTGGACGGAAAATGTTTCCATCATAAACATGTAAAAGAATAAAGAAAACTTAATATATTTTACCTCCGCCGTTGAATCTTCGGACTTGGTTAAGCAAGTATTGAAGGCAATTTTGATCCTTCGTTTGCTGCAGAGAAAATGCAGTGGACGACGGAGAGAAAAGAAACGATCCATCGGCAGATTGTAACTTTAATAGCTTTTCCCAGTTTAGTCCTTTCATCCCTTCCAAGCTATGGAGTAATGTTGTGGGGACTTTGTGCATTATATCCCTTGGTATCCTATTTCATTGATACCAACTCATTTTTATTTTCAAATAGCAATTATAAAATGTATTTATGTAGAAGCAATTGTAGATGGTATCTTTACAATATATTCTATAAGTAGAAAGCCTTTAAAAAACTAAAATATCCAATGTTTTCAAGTAGTTTAAAACTTCGATTGTCATCGTCACTTCTTTCAGCAAAAATTCTCTCATCACTCTTAGTTCATAAAATAATTCTTATTCGTCAATACGCATTTGAAAATTCGGGTTTTAGAGATTTGGATCCTAACAAAGGATAAAAAAACGAAGAGGAAGCGCGAATCTAGAAAAAAATGGAAATTTTAGATTTTTCTAATAAGATTTTGGATTTTGGATTTTTATGAAAAATAATAATAAGATTTTGGGTTTTTAAAAAATTATTTCTAGAATAATAATTATTTTAGTAAGATTTATCTAAAAGGGGACTCAAAAAATATATTATAAATTTAGTTAATTAAAAATTTGTTTGGACCCTAAAAACCAACAAAAAAATTGGCTGGATCTTAAGCGACCGCCTCTTTCGTCTACCTTGTGAGCTTTAAATCTCTTTTGGCATAAATCTCTTGCAAGGCCGGGGAATCGTGTGGGATATCGATGCCGAGATTTTTGGCGATCTCAATGAGTGAAGGCAATGCCATTTCAAACCCTATAGGCATGTGCTCCTCATTTTCATCCTCAAGCTTGTATATATTCTCTTTCATAAATGAAATCCCTATCAAAAAAAAAATTAATATTATTGCGTGTTCAATTCAAATCAGCGTCGCGACATTAATATTTCGTCGCGACAAAATTCAATTCACGAACCTCTATTGCATTTCTCCTGGTGCATTTTCCATGATGTTAAGGCAACTACACATGCTAACGTGTTAATTATCCTGTCGTGAGCCAAAAAGGTTTTGCTATCGCCCCATGACCCATCGTCCAGCTGATTATTCGAAATCCAGTCGAGGCTTGCCGGAAACTGTGGCTGGCCGCTGCCGCCAATATCCTCCACCAGCGCCACCCATGCTGTGTCGTACGGAGATATGCTTATTTCTCCGTCCTCCATATTTTGCAGCATTGATCGCGTCGACTCCACCAGTTCCCTTATCTTTTCATCTGATATCGACCCCTATTTTTTTTTTCGGAAAATAAAAAAATTAATTTATCAATGATGAAAAATGTTTAATTACAAATTAAATGAATAATAATAATGTCTTTAATAGTACCGACTTTATCATCAAGAGTGTCGTTTTTCGTGTCGTCGTGCGCTATGTTTCCTTGGCGCTTTAAACCGCTGTGAATTAAATCTATGTATTCTGCATTTCACATTTATATATATAATTGTAAGAATTTATTTTACAAATAAATGTAGGAATTTAGGAAATTAAATAAATTAAAATTTAAGAAAATCTGCAAGGGCTTATACTTATATATATACCTTCTGAAGGAGCTCTAGAAATTACATTACACTGTAGAAGATCACACCTGGAAGTAGGTGGCAATTGCCATTGCCACCGGGAAAAAACAACTGCAATTTTTCGTACAAATAAATTTAAACATTATATTTATTTAAAAAAAAATCAAAAAAATGTGTAAAAAATATCCATTAATTAATGAGTAAGAATATCCCGAAAATGTGTGTGTATGTGTATGTATATAAGACTCGGGGTTCACCGGTGCCGGGGAGTGAAAGACATCTTGTCGCCAGAATATGCAACCCTGCGGCCGGAGGGCCGCTCCGGGCGGTGGGAGTTGATCGGAAGAGGGAGGTGGTGGTAGTGTGGGAGTGGGAGGAAACAAATGACATAATATTTTCTTGAATATTAGTATTTGTTTTATTTTATTATATGTGTGTGTGTTTTAATATAATGAAAAAATGGTATATAAAGAGAAAAAAGGAGAGGAAGAGACAAAAACAACAACCAAAGTGATTCGCAGGAATGTGTGCATCGGATCATCCAAATTAATTCTTCCTCTCTAATTTGTATAGAAATTAATCAACTGCTCTAAAAAATAATAGATTTTGTCATTTATTGTTTTTTATACCTTATTTCTAAATTACCATTTGCAATAAATACTCTAATCCAATTACATTCATTTGGTATCTGTCTTCGCCTATTTGAGATATGACAGATCATCATTTGACACAATAAAATTTGTCCTACACTAATGACTACTGTGTGAATTCTGCGTAATTAAGGAATTATATTAAAAGTTATGGATTGTGATGCTGCGTAGCTGTGTAGGGCAAAAACTTAAACTTCTTTAACTTTATTTGTGTTTTAAGCACAAACATCTATTGGACAATTTAGGGGCTATTTTATAATTTCTGAATTGATAGAAACATATTTGAATAGCAAATTTTCAAATATTTTTGTTATTTTCCAAATATTTACATGGTTTAAAAAACAATTACAAACCGATAATTGATAATAGTATATATTTTGAATATATTTGTCTGCAAATATATATAAAGTAAAATCTGATAATATGTTTACATCGCATATTTATAAATATACCCCTATACTTTTAATATTTACACATTGCTCCCAAATTTTTGTACCCACATTTTTGCGTCACTTCATTTTAGGTTCACAAGACATAGCAAAAATAAGTTTATGTTGATAATTTTTAATTAAAATAGCATATATATTATAGTTTTATCATATTTTAAGCATGACAAAAAAATCTTAATGTATTGTACTTAAATATTTTGGAGATTAATGGCATCGTCTCATATTATTTTTAAGAGACATCGATAAAAAAATCAAAAATAAGTAAATATTCATAAATATAATATAAAATAATACAAATTTTAACCATTTTATTAAATATTTTTATATTAAATATGATATATACAAGTATAATTTATATGAGATTGTGGAGAAAAACAAAAAAAATTGAGGGTTAAGACACATATTTATTAAAACTTTAGGGGGGCCAAAAGTAAAATTCGAAAACTACAATGCCAAAATACCTAAAAAAAAATTAATCTTGGGGGGCAACAGCCCCCCCTGCCCCTTATATGTTCCGCCGCTGCTTCATTTCCATGTATCGCCATTTTCGTATCCGTGCTACATAGGATGCTGCTGAAATGAATCACTTCTTTGATGTGTGTGTATTCTAGTAGTAAAATTATAATATTCGTTAATTTTTATCATTATATAGCATGATTTGTTACTGTATTAAAATGTAATTACTAGCACAATTGAAACCTTGATGAAAAATTGAGACACGAGTTACATCAATTCATAATTGGCTTCAGCACAATGTAGAGAGATTGACATAAAAGCTAAAATAATAATGAGTTGGTAGAAATTAAAGAAACAAACAAAAAAGATGAGTACGAAGATTGATCTAGTAATAGAAAGAATCGTACAAAAGCATATATATGAATTATGCTCGGAATTGTGTTTGTTTGCAAATAGTGTATATTGGAATCTTTCTAGTTATTTGATGCTTTCTATCATTACCCTACTTGCTCATTCAAAAAAACAAAATCGTGACGCCTATACTTTCTTCTGAAATGACGTTGCATGCATATAGGGAGACCATTCTAAAAAATAATAATCTATTATGCATCTTTAACCTATTTTTCTTTTTTTAAATAACGAAAGAACCATCAACCAATTTTATAGGTGTATTGAGTAAATTTACGCCTTCGTAGAATAACTTACAAATTATTCAAGAGACGACGTAAACAATATTAGACGTAAACCTACACTCTTTTGTGGTTCGTGTTTTCAATAAATTCAATTGCAGGCCATAGTCTATATGGACTCGGAGACTGTTTCCTAATTAGTAAGTTTGAAGTCCTAATGCTCTAATTCATTTAAGGGCAATGACAAATAAATCCATGACAAGTGACTTAAGTATAATGCACATAGGTCAAGATAAAAAATAGTCTCGTAAATAAACTCATTTACATGTCTTTTGTCTAAAATACCCCTCATAATACAATTTTCATCAATTCCATCCAATGTACTCTAACTTCATCAATATTGCAAATTGACCCTGAATTTGAACGAATATATTACATTAACCCCCATTTTAATAATTTTTTGAATTTTTTATTTTTATTTTTTTTTCTGAATTTTTTCTCGTTAGATTCCGTTGTTGACTTTTTTTTTAAACTTGTTTTCGCTCTCTAAATTACTGTGTTAAGAAAAATATATTGTCTGAGACAGAAATATTGAATGTCAAAATAATATAATAATATTATTAATATTATTGTCCCAAACAGTAATATTACTGCATAATACAGTAAAATTAATTAATACAGTAAAAAAAAGTCAACGCCAGAGACTGGCAGTCAACAGCGGCTGACCGGCGGTAGGCGGTCAAAAATTGGTTAATAGGTGAAATTGAGCTAAATTGGGGTGTAAATCATGAAATTAGAGTTTCAAGGAGTTAGAGGTAATTTTGATATGTAAAAGAGTTTTCCTTATTCGCAAATAAGTTTGAATGATGTGGATTTATTTGGAAGACAAAAAAATAGAATGTCATTTTTTTTAACCAAGTGCTCTTGTCAGTTGTCACGGACCTATTAGCCATTTACCCTTATTTTAAAACTGTGTTTTTTCAAATGGACATTTTATGTAAAAGTTTATGATCACTCACATTTATTAATTAAAGTTTTAGGTATTTGTTTTCTTTCCAAAATAAGTCCATTATTTCAATACGTTATATAAACACTGGCAACCCTAATATTTGTGATAAAATTATCCCAAATCTAGTAAACTCAATTAATAAATGTAAATCTTAATGTAACTCTAATTTCGCCTATTTTGACCCTTAAATTCGGTTTTGACTTCTTTCTTTTTTTTTTTTTTTTTTAAATTCCCGTTGCTAATCGCTGGTATCCCACGTTGACTTTTATTTTTATTTTTAATTCCTGAAGCGGACCAACGATGAAAACGGGTCTATGGCATTGGTTTTTTTTTTTTTTTTTTTTTTTTTTTTAAATTAGAAACGTTTTTCCTCCACTGGCCGGTCAATACTATGATACTGTTGTCGGCCACAATACATTAATATTAATGTCTACCATAGTACGATAATATTAGTATCTACCACAATACAATGGTATTATTGTCTAGCACAGTAATATCAATTATTTTGATTTTTTTTTTGATGTGTTGATTGGTCAACATAATAAAATTATTGAGTTATAAATTAATATTACTTGTAACACAATAATATAACTGTTAATATTAATTTTATTTTTTTTACTACGTTAGACAGCAATATATGATATTAATGTGTTAAACAATGAAATTAACTATATAATTCTATTTATCAGGACAAAAATGTCCAGAAAAAAAAAAGGTTAAAAAAAATTCAACATCATTGGCCGGTGTTGACAGTCGACTGGCTGTGGCGAGAAAACAATTTCATGAAAACAATTTGCAAAAAAAGAAAAGGAAAGTCAACGTCAGAGACCATAAGTCCAAGGGGTTGCGGGAAAGGAAAATAGAAACAAAAAAAAGTTAACATCCAGAGACCGTGAGTTAATGGCATCGTTAATTGGTGAAATTACAATCAAATTCGAGTTTAATGGACAAAATTCGAGTACACTAGAATGTGAGAAGTCATTTTTGTCTTTTATAGACCCTTGGGTCTTACCTGGACACGGTCATGGGCCGGTTTTCGGCCTGGAACCAGCCCGTTGACGAACCGGCCCAAACCGTTGACCGGTGAACTGGCCCGTCGTCTCCGGGACGGGCCCGTATCTATGAATTGGTGAACTGTGAACCGCCGGGCCGGGCCGGCGGTTCACCTGGATTTAAAAAAAAAAAAAAAAAAGCTGAAAAAAGTTGAACCGTCCCGATGAACCGGCCGTTATTTGTTTTTTTTTTAATTACCCCCCCCATTTTTCCTATAAATGCACTCATACCCCATTTTTTCCTATAAAATTAAGTTCAAGTCCTTTTATTAATTTCCTTTTGTTTTTTTCCTATTTAAAATTAATTCTTTTAATTTATTTATCCATAAAGTATTTTTCAAAAATATATATATATATATATATATATATATATATATATATATATATATATATATATATATATATATATATATATATATATATATATATATATATATATATATATATATATATATATATATATATATATATATATATATATATATATA